CTGGAGCTCGGGGGCTGGAGCCTGGTGGGCTGTGGCACGGTAAGAGGAGGGAGGATGTTCACGGTGTTGGTGCCCAACGTTGCCCGTCGTGTAAGGAGCTGGTCCTCTCTGCTGTGCTACCTCCATGCACACCCCTATCTCCTCTCCTCTCCCCTCCTCCGCTCGCAGGCGTTCCTGCCCCTGCTGAAGAAGGCTGCCCAGGGGAGCCCGGGCTCAGCACTGAGCTGCAGCAAGGCGGCCATTGTCAACATGTCCAGCTCTGCGGGCTCCATTGAGGATGTCTATTTATGGCATTTTGGACATGTTGTTTCATACCGCTGCAGCAAGGTACTGCCACACCGCGCTGAGCGTGAGCCTAGACATTTTCCTCTCTGAATGATCTCGCACACCTTCCAACATCCCCACGGTCCCTGCACCTCTCTGTGCTGTGATTGAGCTCCCGTCAGTCACTGGGTCCCTCTCACGGCACGTTCCTCTGCCTGGCCCTGGGTCCCACGTCAGAGGGATGTGTCAGAACGGGACCTCGGCTGGGCTGGGCATGTCTGGGATAGTGCAGCAGCAACGTGTGCCCCGGGGAGCTAGCTCCACCTGCCCTGCCCTGTCCCCCTCCGCACATGTCCCCTCACAGCCGCCCTTCCCCTCCCGCCGCCATCCCTGCCCGGTCTCCCCGCAGGCTGCTCTGAACATGCTGACCAAGTGCCAGTCCCTGGGGTACCGGGAGCACGGCGTCCTCTGCGTTGCTCTGCACCCCGGCTGGGTGCAAACCGACATGGGGGGCTCAGGATCACAGAAGGTAAGAGAGCTTCTGGCCAAGGTCTGGAAGAACCTTTTTATTTGGGAAAGCAAAGCTTGCTGTGGGTTGGACAGTCTCAGACTTGCTGGGCTCTGGGGAAGCTCTTTGGCAGATACCCTGAGCTGGAGGCACATGAGGGAAGGAGATGAGAGACGGAAAAACTCTTCTTGCCCTGTGCTGGCCTCTCCTTGCTCACTCCAGAGAGCCCCAAGCCCTGAGCAGTGATCTGCTCCAGGGCAGACCTTAGCCAGGCCTTCGACACACGGCTGTGTTTCTCCTTCTGCCCCCGCAGCCCCCCGTGACAGTGGATGAGAGCGTGCGAGGGATGCTGAAAGTGCTCTCCTCCCTCTCTGAGAAGGAGACTGGGACCTTCCTGGACTGGGAGGGGAAGGTCGTGCCCTGGTGAGATGTCAGCCCAGGATCCTGACTGCAGGTTGCGTTGCTGCCGCACCAAGTTGTGCCTGCGTCTTAATAAATTTGGTCTGTGAACAATAAGTAGCACTGAGCCTTCCTTTTAACTAACATTGTGAGAGTCTTCTCTAGTGCTTTGAGACAACTTCTCAGAACTGTTTCTCAATGTAATTGAGAATGGTCTGAACGTCTGATCTCCTCTGACTGGGGGCCTGGTGTTCACCCTGGTACGGCTTTTTCCCTGGGCACAGAGGGGCTCATCCCACAGCTCTCCCTCTGACTGGGAGATGCATCAGCCCCCCCCCCGCGAACCCTTTCTTGCTCCTCGTTGGCTCCTCTATCACATATGTCAGGAAGCCATCACCATCACCTCCGGGAACCTCCTGGGTTGCTGATGCCCTGCTGTGTTGTCCCTCTGGCAGGTATCAGGGTGGTTAAAATACCCCATGACGACCAGGACCACTACAATGACACCCATCCCAGTCTTCCCCTTAATCCTGACCCATCAGCTCCCATTTGGCTCATCACCATCCCCAGGCAGAGCTCCGTGCACTCCCGCTGCTCTCTCCCCCACAAAGGGGTCACTGAGCCGCACCAGTACCCCAGGACTGAGGATGCTGCTGTGCGCGTTGGTCTCCAAGCCTTGTCCATGTCCCAGGAACTGGAATGCCGCTGTGTGTGCAGCCCCACACCAGCGGTGGTGGCACAGCCTCTCCAGATGGAACCAATGAGCTGACCAGCACATCTGGAGTGCACAAGGTGAGACCCCGTCTGGGGACCCCCCCTGTGGCTCCCAATTCCCCCCCCCCCCTCCCCCTGCCATCGCTGTGCGGT